CCGGCGCCACCCCCCTCGGAAACGGCTCACTCCTAATCTCCGCAATTGCCTCCTTCGTTCGACGATTCGTCTCAAAGCTCAACTCAATCAAATCCACCACCTCCTCCGCCCCAAAATAAAGACTCAAATCGCTCTTCGACCACAAAAACATCAGGTCTCGCAGGTTACTCTGCAGCACCTCGCTCAGGAAGTGCAGCTTAAGCCAGAACGCCGCATAGTGCGATGTCGTCGGCACAGGCGGGTTCTCTGGGTCCTCATCTGCGCCCTCGGGTGTGAAGAGATCATCCAATTTCGTTACCAGAGCAATTAACGATGCTACACGAAACGCCTCATCAGCACCCAGCACGGTAAGATCAGTGACGTCGCGAATCATCTTTCGAGCGACAGTAGATAGCAGCGCTCCAACAGCCTGGGACCACGCGGATTCAGAGAGAATACTGCGCCACTCCGCGGCAAGGGCGCGGATGTGCGCGACGACAGACTCGACAGCGACTTGGTCTGTGGCAGCGTCGTCGCCCTGGTTGAGGAAGCTCTGCGCGCCGCCGAGGAGGTCCGCGACGATAGTGCGCTGGGTGCTCATTTCGCGGCCGTAGGCGGCGCGGCTGAATTTCAGGAGGGATTGGACTTCGCCGTCGAGGCGAACTTTGCCTTTTGCGCCGGGGCCGCGGTCGGTGCGTTGGGACCAGGTGGCGGAGAAGTCTTTGAGGAGGTCGGTGAGGTGCATGGCGTCGTTGTAGCAATACCTGGGGGTGTTAGTGGGATTCGTGATGGATAGGGGTTGGAAAGACTGACATGTTACCGCCTGGGGCGAGGTTGTAGTATACTGGCGCAGAAGCACGGTACATGGCTAACACTAGAGTTGGAAGGCCAAATAGTCCAACAGCTGCTGCGCTGACAGGGTTTGTATCGTGGCTAAATATCGTTAGTATTACAACTGAAGATGCGATTTGCCAACTTACTTTTCGCGCGTCAGCGTTACTGCATCTTCTATGATGTGCCTGATGGTATCGAACACTGGCTCTGGCATAGACGATACCGTGTACTTTTCAGTCAAGGTTACCTCTCGCTGCACTTCTCTTCTCGCCTGGGGTTCCGAAATCTCAGGTTCCTCAGGCATTGGAGCTGGCTCCTCCTGGGTTTCCGCAGGTGCCTCTTCCTCGTCATCATCGCCCCATCCCCAGGCATCAGCCCCGTCATCGTCGTCAGGGGCCGCTTCTTTCAAAACCTCAGCAGTCCAGTTGCTCTCTTTAGGAGAATCCCTTCCTAGGCTTGATGAAGATCTTGTATTTTCCTCGCCGTCGCTTTCTCCCCCAGCATTCTTTTCTTTGGCCTTGCCTTTATCGCCTCCTGGGGCGCGGTCTTCATTGCCCTTGTCCTCGTCATCTGACCACTCAACATCCCAGTCGTCCTCACGTTTGGCTGTCTCTTTGCCCTCGTTTGCAGCCCCGCCCGGAAGCTCTTCATCAATGAATTCGGTGATAGTTTGGGTTTCTGTTCGTTCAACCCCTTTAGTACGTCCAATACCCTTCGATAGCTGCCTCCTTGTAGAATCCAGCGCTGTCTCCCTGCGCTTTGCAACCCATAATCGAGGAGAGCTCTCAACCCAATCGTTGAGATTATCTGCTCCGCCCCATCCCAAGGCAGTGATGGTCTCCGCAAACTCGTGAACGAGAGCAATAGAATTCCGGAAATCGGTCATACGATCTAATGATACCGGTACTGCAGAGTCAAGCCATGTCTCTCTGATTAGTGTGGTGAGCTTAGGCATTAATACAGAAGACAACGGCTGAGCGAAGTCGGAAGGAAAGCTTTCGGAAAGGAAACGGATCATCTTTTCGAGGTCAAGAAAAAGTTCCCTTATTCCTAACGATGCGGGTACTTCCTCAGACGCACGTATGGTTTTCTAGATTCACATTAGCCATAATTCCGCCCTTCTGATATAGCAATAACGTACCCCCTCAACGGAAATAGACTTTAGCGGGCCGTAGCCTATGAGAACTCGAGGGTGTACAATTGCAGTTTCGAAATCATCACAAAACTTTTTGATCCTCGTATCATCCTCTTTATAAGCCTTCATTATGAGAACCGACTGAGGTATATCTGTTGGGCCGACTTTCTCTCCGTTAGCATAGCACAATCATATCCCAGTTTCCAGTTCTTACTAATGGTGTTGTCCACTGTTAGAGAGGTCATTTCCTCATCGAAATGCACAAGCGTATTCCAGATGTGGCCGAATTGCTCATGGATAGATTCCTTGATCAGGAACGCCCGCTCATTCAATACTGATAGCGGTCGAGTGATTTCATGTGCGGGGATATTTTCCATCTTCTCCCATGATTCTGGGACACGTTAGTTGCAATCCAAAACAAAGTTCCAGGTCAACATACGTGCAAGTATATTCAGAGCTTCCAGAAGTCTGCCTTCAACGCCTGCGCCTTCGGCCCCATCCAGCATTCTCTGGACATCCTGGATTCCGCCCAGCGCCTCTTTCAACTGGTTATTGTATTGAACCTCCTTCTCAAGAAACTCGACATGTTCAGCGTCCTCCCTCGCCGCTCGTTGCAACGCATCTCCGCCTTCTGCATCACGAGCAATGTCCTCAGCAAGGTTCTTGGAGTTCTCAATATCTTCCTGCAGGGCATGGGCATTCGTGATCCAGGTATCAACTTCTGGCGCACTATCGCGACTAGTTTTTCGAATCTCATCCTACATAGTTCATTAGCAGATGTTACCATAATAGCCTTTACCCCTCCAAAGAGCCCCCCTCGTAACACTAACCTCCAGAGCAGACCTAGCTGCAGTCACGGCTTGCAATGCCAATGCAAGAGCTTCCCCTTCTACATAACTTTTGGAGATTTCCTCATCTCCCGGAAACTCTCCATCGCGGGCGAAGTTGGCAATCGATTGCCCCAAGGCTTTTGGTGCCGCCATGCTTTCTCAGAGCTGTTGTCTCAAAATAGGTCCATTAATAAAATCGTAAATCTATGTCGTAGGTATCATATCACTCAACCATTCAAAGCAACATGGCTGCAATGGTTTCTTTGGAACTTTGGTTTTTCAAATATATGGAAATCGTTATGGACATGTATGAAGCTTGGATATGGAGCTTGGTCCAGCCGGTACCCCTGTACCCCGGAATATATTTACTCCGTTCTTTACGCAAACATGACAAACACCTCGACCTTGGAAGGCAACATTCACGAAATTCATCGAGGCCGCCGGCCTCGAGCACGATCGTCTCCAACTTCATCCTCATCAGCGCCTTCGCACCAATCTATCCTCAAACACGCCCTCTCTTGCAGCGAGCCGTGTCTCTATCCCCGCGAATAGCGGCCTGCCACACCCACATCACCATCTCCACGCGCCCACCACCACTATGTCCTCCTCCAACGGTCCCCCCGGGCCCTTCACCATGAAGAAATTCTCCCTGGCCTCCAAACCTTCCAGCTCAACACCCTCCTCCCGCCCCTCCTCCACCAAACCCCCCTCCTCCCTCGGCAAACGCACCCGCTCCCCGCCCGACCACGCCTCGGACTCTGACTCCGACCGCGAACCCGAGCGCGTCGCCGTAACCGCCGTCGGCGCCTCGGGCGCCGAGCCGCTCGAGCGACACACCGCCGCGCGCCCATCATCGATAAACTGCCTAATCGCGACTGGCGCGCTGAGGCGCGACAGCGACGGGGTGGGAAGAACCTCCTACCGCCTGAGGTGCAGGCGCGGCGGGAGCGGCGAGGAAGGCTGCTGAGGGGAGGGGTGTGGAGGAGGTGCAGGGGGGGGAGGAGATTAAATGGGGACTGACGCTAAGGTCGAAGGAGGAGAAGGATGTTGTTGAGGGTGTTGAGCCGCCTAGGTCTGCGCCGCCAGAGCCAACAGAGGCGCTGGTTCAGAAGGTGAAGACGGATGATGATCGTGCGCTTGATGCGCTGCTGGGGCGTGAGGATAAGGTTAAGCGCCCTGATCTTGTTATTGCGTCTACGGAGGACACGACGTATGAGGCTCCTATCAGCGATGGGGATGCGTATCAGCGCGCTATTGCCTCGGCGCCCGATGCATCCACGCTCCAGGATTACGAGGATATGCCGGTTGAGGATTTTGGGGCAGCGCTGCTACGTGGTATGGGATGGAAGGGGNNAGCGGTTAAATTTGCTTGGTCTGGGAGCGCGGGAGCTGAAAGGTGCTGAGGAGCTTGGGGCATGGGTGCAGAAGAGCGATGTGAAGAGATTGAATACTGGAGCGAGAAAGGAGAGAAGAGAGAAACCGGGAGAGTATAGGGAGAGGGAGGATAAGAAGAGGAGAGAGCGGGATGAGAGGTATGGGGGAAGAGATGATAGAGATCGGAGGGAGTATAGGGATCGTGATAGGGAGAGGAGGCGCTGAGAATGCTGTCGGGCTTGGATAGAGGCGGAAGCACTACGAGTATCATTCGAGGAGACATTGAAGAACATCGTCAACCGTAGCGCACGAGCGACGAAAACAAAATGATGCCAGACACTAGACTTATTATATAGATTGGTCGCTAAAATACAAAACTCGAGATTCAAATGACTCCCAACGATCTAAG